AGTAGGTCGGTCCAAAATGTTGGTAGGGACATGTCCCTATGGTCCCTATGCAAACCTACGCCCATGAGTCCCTGAGCTTCTGGACCCTTTCCTATTTCGGACACCCCTCAGTGTTCCTTGGGTATTGCCAGGCCACCCTTATAAAAAATATCTGGCTACGTCTCTGCTCTAATGAAGGGGGTCTCAGAGGTGTCAGTGTTTAGGGGCCCATTTCCTCCTTGACCCTCTGAGATGTTTCTCTGACTGTCACAGTAAGCGTTTTAGATTCTCACTAATTAAGAGGAAGAAACCCCATTAAGTTTCACATGAGAGCGCATTTCCATCATGGGAAACGGGACCGTGAACGCACCAGAGCAGCGGCTGGGTGAACCTGCAGCTTCCATCCTGAGAGCACCAAGAAGCGGACTTCTTCCGCCAATGCGCAGCTGCTCGACTTTCAACACAAAGCTTCAATATCTCCAGCTAAAAGCTCAGAAAGTGCGCTTACCTTCCCCTGAAAACTCTTCTTCGCGGCTCCTCTTAGTCGCTCTTTGTTTTCTATCTTCTCATGATTTAAACGTTAGGAAATGAAGCAGGAGAGGATGTAGAGTGTTGACAGCAGGCCAGCCGCAGGGCGGTCAGTTCCTCTATCGGCTTTAGTACAAGGAAGTAAAAGTTCACTAGGATTATATGCACAGCATGTAACTTATGCAGCCTCAGAGTCCGGAAGCCAGGACGCTATCTATGCAAACTAGAGAAGCGCAGAGCTGCAGCTCTGACCTAAAGCTTTCAAAATAAACCTTCATTAAAGCAGCTGAAATGGGACGTTATAAACTCAGGGCTCTAAACTCAAGTACAGATTCGGTTTTAAAGATGTGCAAGATGAGAACCACATCAGTGCCTTTTGCACCATGTTTTTTCTTTCTTTCCCCAAACTGTTTAAATTTGATCACTTGTGCACTTTATGAAATGGTAATGTTCATTTTTACTGCTAAGCTGCTGCTCATTCACTGTCTGAAAGCTGTATAAAACAAATGTTTTGTTTTTTATACACCCTGTGTTTACAAAATGACAATAAAGTTGACTAAGTCTAAAGTCTAGAGCATATCCAAACGTGTCTCACCTCCTAAAACTTTGACATTTATGCTTTAAATGCGACATTAACCAATCTTCAAGAAAAAGGAAAATAAAGAAGCGACTATAATCCAGATGCATAAACATAAAAAACCTGAAACTAAACTATTTTTTATTCAGATTTGGCACCTGGGATCCCATATCCTGACCTGCCCTCTCCTTAACTTTTTTCAACGTCTTGTGTGGACATCTCTTGTCCAATTGCCCAACATTTCTGTTTGGCTCAGTTCTGGGCTTTTGTTCTGTCCTTCCAGATCAAATTGTTTTAATTATGAGCTCTTTAATCATGAAAAAAATCTCATTATCTACACCTTTCTTGCAAAAAAGTAGATGTGGCATCTCAACTGTTCATAGCTTCATCCACTCTAGCCTTCAGCATGACGGTGCCATCACCATACTTCACTGTAGCTTTGCTGCAACCAAAAGAGGCCCAATAAGTTTCAGTTTGGTTGATTCAGGCAAAAAACTAACTTTTAAAAAAAAAGGTTCTAGTATGTTTTGGTCAGAGCTGAGTGATTCTGTAAAAGAAATAGCTTCTGGACTAGCATTCAGTCCAGTGAACGCACCTACACCTAATTTATTCTGCAGGTCTGAAGAAGACTTTTCAGAATCACTGCAGAGTTTAGGGAGTTAAATCCTTTATAATGAATGAATAAAGTTTTAGGTCAGAAACATGATTAGAGCTTAGGGTGTCACATTGATCTGTTTTCATTCACATAGAAACTAATTATAAAGAAAGGGTAACATTTCAATTTGCATGTCTAAGATGAAAATCTTTGCAATATTTGGTCTTTCAAACCAATGGATGAGGTCCAGCAGAAATTAGCTCCACCTGCTGTTTTTTTCTCCTAGCGCTCGTGGTGTCATGTCGGGATAGCAGCTGGAAACACGCCTCTACAAGCAGCAAAATTAAAGAATGTATCCTATACATATATATAGGATTTTTTATTTCAAGCAAAAGTAAGGAGAAGAATAAGATCCACATAAAATGCTTTGGGATTGTCAGGAAAGTTATCAAAACTCTGGGAATTTAACTAGCAGGCTTTCCTGGTCAAATAACTTGTAATACATTTTTTCTTAAGTTTGTTCCTTCCTGGTTAATTATTATTCAAAATATGTATTTATTTTTAAGGCTCTGTAGAGGGTGATTATCACTTGAGCTGACTTCTAGTGTTTTCATCAGACTTATTTTGATTTCTGAAAATAAAACCCTAAACTTCCAAAAACAAAAACCAAACAGATATTGTTCTCAGTTGAACCAGATCCAGAAAGTTGCTGACAGAAGATCACATGAGCTGTGAGACATTTGCATCAGTTACTCAGGTATTTGCATGATAGCAGAGCAGATGAGGAGGAGGGAGCATGAATACAAGGCAGCCTTTCAGCTTCTCACCACCTGTTTGTCTTCATCTAATATCAGCATTTACAGCCTGTATGCTGCAGTCAGGCAGCACTAAAGCTGCTGCCCCTTATATCTAAAACATGTTCATATGAAGAAATAAAGCTCAGTCCCAAAGGTTGAAAAATCAAAGTCGACCCATAATTTCTCAATTAGATAACAAACACAATCCAGGAAATAGCTTCTCTACGAATGGAGCAGATTTATCTGTGTAAAGGTTTTAAGCAAAGATTTCCCTCAGCATCTGCTTCATCCGGACCATTCAAAGTATCTTTTAACACAGTAAATGTAATTAATAACTGATCCACATAAAGACTGATGCCATGAATTCTACTCACAACACAGTCATTGTTTGCTCCCAAATAGATTGAGGTTGCATAGATAGCATTTTGATTCCAAAATGACTGAAATGGTTGTAATTTAATGAACAATATAGCATAATTATTTGGATTAAAATAATATTTGAGTGATATAGTGGTTAAAAAGGTGAGCTTCAGAAAAAAATAATTTTTCTGTCATTTAATGAAAAAAAGTAATAAAAAAAAAAAGTCATGTTAATTGTTTTTTTCGTTGATTAATAAATTAGTTTGGTGTTCTGAAAGCTAAATGAAAGGGGGTAAAAACCTTTTCAAACAACTCATGGCTATCTCCACTTTCTCGTCATTACTATCCTAAATAAAGCTCATTGTTTATAAATCTGTTGTGCCTCGACTGAAGTGTTTTATATTTCCCATTCATATCAAGGTCCTTAAAATGACCAGAATGTTTGTATCATAAATGTCTCCATCCTGTGTAGTTTTTACACCAAAAAAAAAAAAACCTTTTTGACTCTGAAAGCTGCTTTTATATATATATATAGTTGTATAGTTTTACTTTAACCAAAATTAAAATCAAGGTCAGAATTATAAATGTAACATTACTCACTTTCAAAGCTGTTTTACATTAAATCATTTTTTGGCAAGTGAGATTTAATGTGCTCCATCCAAAAATCACATCTTGTACATTTATTTAGAAAGCAAACTCCACAATTTCAGATTATTTTAATACTGTGTATTTTAATCAACAGAAGAGCAAATCATGACATAAAAATGTCGCTAAACTAGATTTTAAAACTATTTTAAATGGATCTTTGGGGATTATTGTTGCTAATTTTATACCAACTTTGTTAGTTTTCAGTGAAAGTTTGCATTTTACAGCGAAGCAGCCAAGAGGAGCATGGTTAGTGGAGGAGCTGCAGAGACCCACAGCTCAGGTGGGACCTTGTGTTCGCAGTTCTGTGATTTCTCAGCAATTGCATAAATGTATTGTTAATATGGAGCATCTGAGCTGCAAAACTCATGTTTTTAATTGTTTAAACATGTCCATAAAGGGTTAGAGGGTATCTTAGCTGCAGATCCAGAACCAGGTGCAGGGAAACAAAGCAGAACACAAAAGTTTGACCACTTAGGAAGAAAAATCTGCACAGAAACACAGAGACATATAGTTAATGTTATTTTACTACAGGTGAACATACTGATAATCACTACATATACACACGTCTCATGATTCACTACATGCACTGTAAAAATCAATGTGACACTCGACTGTAACAGAGTTTACAAACTAAAAAGAACCTGAGGTAGAGAAACATCTGCTAGATATGTGACATTTTTCAAGTTTCACTGACACCACATGCAGCGTGTGCTCGTCATCAACAGTCATCAGGTCCATTAAAACGGACCTCAGAGGGGGAAAAAAAGGTGATTCCCAAAGTTTTTTTTTTTTTTGTTTAACAAACATCCAAACCAGATAAAACGCTAAAACACAGAAAGAATAATTCTGGTTAATCAGCTAACAGCAGGGATGGAACACAGAAATTAGAGATTAATAATCAGCTTAAGATTAATTACACTTTCCCGATGGTTTCATTTTGAATCTCACAAAGCTGCTCTGATCTGATGTCTACCTTAACTACTCGAAGAGGAGAGCAGGAGGATTTCAGAATGGAAGAAAGGATGCAAACATTAAAGAGATGCTGCTTCAGCTCCTCTACCATCATCATCTTCAGAGCAATAGAATAACCAGAGCGAGAGCGTGTCTCTGATCTGTAGCAAGCTCCTCTACCATCATCATCTTCAGAGCAATAGAATAACCAGAGCGAGAGCGTGTCTCTGATCTGTAGCAACCATCAGGACACGCTCAGTTGGATCAGACCAGAGCACAAAGACCCGATAGGAAGAAAACTGGTCGGCTCAGGTTTGGCTGCAATCTGCAGAAAGAGAGCAGCAGTTGGACCATCAGGAAGGAATCATCTCTGTTAAACTTATCAAAGATTAAACCACTAAAAAAATTACTTTGTTCAGATTTTCATTAATCAACAACAATTAAACATGAATTTATTCTTTAAAAAAATCCCCAAAGGGCTTCACATGCAGGGAGATACTTTCTGTTACATATTTTTCTATCAGTGAAAATGAAGAGGTTTGATTCTGTTGAGAAGCAGCCGGTCCAAGTGTGAATTCACACCCAGAGATGGAGAAGTTGCTAGCTGGTATAAGCTCATAGTTTAATGAGAGCTCTGACCTGCAACTACTGAGAAATCAGCCTGGAAGCCTGCATGGTTGTTCCCTTTTAAACAAGATGACAGTTTGTGGCTTAAAAAGCCGGAAGGATCCCCCGAGGCGGGAAATACTTCCATCTACTGATTACTTCAGGGAGGAAGATGGCTCCCTGTGGCTAATCGAAGTCTTCCTCCAGCTCATTGAACCCCTCGCTGTGCAGAGTTTTCCCTGTCAGCTCCATCATGGCCTGAACTTCTGGATCCACGTTCAGGATGCTCTTCTTACTATCCTCTTCCTCCCCCTGAAACAACAGACAGTCCAAGGATCAGTGGAAGGAAAGCCAAAGTTTCTCTGTTCTGTACTTCATCAGCCGACCCGGTACGTTCAATCAGATAAACAGTTCAGACCAAATGATTCCTATGAGTTAAATTTAGGACTGGTCACAGGAACCAGCAGATTGCATCATATTTCAACTGGGCCGTGATCCGTCATCCTTGGGAAGCTCTGGGGAAGCAAAGATCCAAGACGGGTCCTGGCAGCAGACATTTACCGCCCCTGTAAGGACAAGGAGATCTGGGCCTGACTCACAGTCTCCCCCTGGTGGTTTCTATACTGGTCGGCAGAACTGAGAAAATTTTCAGCTCTGCATGTTCATGGGATTTTTTTCCCAATCAGTCTAAACATTCATAGGGCTTCTTAAAGGTTTCCAAGAAGCTACGCAAAAAAGGTCTGGTAATAAAAATGAACAGAATCTGCCTAAAATATCATCATGGTCGGAATCTGCAGCAAAGGAAATAAATGCACGGAATAATGTTTGAAGATTAAAATGATAAGGAGAAATATTTGTAGCTACAAAAACAACCATCTGCATGGTTGTCATGGTAACAGAGGGGCTTTCTCAAGAGTACTTTAGAGAAACTCTTTGGTTCAGGTGTGCCACCCACCCCATCCCCGTACCTCAGGTGGCTGGGGGGGTTTCCCCACAGCCCACACCTCCACAGAGTCCAGGGTGAAGTCCTCGTCTCCAGACAGCTGGGGGCTGCCATAGGTGGTACATTTGGGTCGCGCTCGGCTGTGACCCTGCCCAAAGTCGCAGTCCAGCCACAAACCAAAGTAGTCGTGTTGACCTCCCATTCCCTGATGGGATCAGAAGACAGAGCAGAGGAAGCTTTTAGAGGCCATCAGTTACCTGATCAATCTGCTTTCATCATTCACAGCCAGATCTTGACTGGAAGGCGTCCTAATGTTCTGGAGCGGCTCAGCCCTGCAGACCTGAACCTGCTACTGGATCAATGGAGGGACCTAAAATTAGAGTGATGGTGAGGAGGACTTCTTGGAACTCATCACAAAACATCCAGAAAGCCAAAGATTTCTTTAATTCATTATCGAGACAAGAATAAATATTCGTTTTTTTTTTTATTATATTTTATAAAACAAATGATTAAATTTAGGTTAACTTCAATGCTTCTGTAGGAAACTATGCTATTAAGCAGGAGCACCTGTTGACCGGCTCGTGTTGATAGAAGGAGTTAAAACTCAGCTCAAACCAGATCTGAAAGTGAAGAACTACGATGATGAGGGATGCCTGTGATACAGCCTTCTGTGACCAAGCAAACAGGTTTTCTCTCTGACTGAAGGTGACTTGTACCAATGTTTGTCTTCTTACCACTTTAAAGTCGTGCTATGTCAGCTGTACTGTAGGGTTCTGATGGAGACAGCATCAGACTGAAACCTGGTTCTAGATCAGACGGGGTGTTGGAATCAGATTGATCTTACTACGTTTCCTTTAGATTTCATTCAAATATTAAATGATGTTCCATCACTTGAGCCATTTCTGCTGATGTGTGGTTTGTTTCATGGCTAATTCTCTGCTAGGTTTTATGTAGGGAGGGGGGGGTTGTGGGGTCTAAACAATCATAGAGCGTGAAGCAAAGCCGTAAGGTTCTGCTCTACTGGTCTCCTGCCTGCTCACCAGTCCGTTGGGCATTGTCTGCTGGTGCTGGTTGAGGTACATGAAGTGTTCGTTGTATCCTGTTGCCGTGTAGACTCTCAGCGTGGGGAACACAGAGAACAGGAAGCATCTGGAGTCCCCTGCACACAAATAAACAAATCACAGAGATCTGAGCCCAACGCCAGGTTCCAGTCCTCGGTATTCAAACAAGCGGTGACACTTCCTCCATGCTTTGCCTTTTTGGGGGCTTGATTGGCCCCCAGCTGCAGATGCCTTCGCAACGTTAACAAAGACCCTCAGAAATAAAAGCAAAAGATCCATTTTCTTTACCGCCTGAACATCCTAACCCAGTTTCACTAATGAGATCCGATGTGCAGTAAAATATGCATGAATGACATCGATACATAAATAAAGAATTAAATATTCCAATATATAAATCAGAAATTGACTGATGGATTTTTTGTTGCTGATATCTAACCCTAAGGCAGCTAATAACTAATATTTTAGGCTGTTCTTGTTTTTTGTATTTAGCTGAATGGTTTTGATTTTGAGGCATTATTTGAATTTGGCCATTTTCTGTGAAATAATCGTTTTGAAGCAGACGCTTTTTTGTTCCTTTTTCTATTCAGCCCCCATACTTTTAAGACCCCACTTCTCTTTTGACTGATTTCTTCTTCAGAGAAACTGTATAGAAATCAGGGCAATCTTGCTTTAAAATCTAATCTCTGATTTTTTTTCCCTACCAAATCAAGTTCACTGATTTTTTTTCCCTCACTTGAGGTTTTATAATAAAAATGAAAAATGACATAACACTAACTAAATGTAAATAATAATGACATTTTTGCTTGTTTGTAAAATCTGCTTCACAACAATTAAGATCAAACGTTTGCAGCTGGTATCACACAGAGAGCTGGTTAACCAGTTATATAATTGATATCTAAGAGCAAAAATGATGAACTATGGAAGCAGAAGGAGAGGATTAGTAAAAAAAAAAAAAGAAATCAAAAACAATGTTTTTTTTATATTTTCCTCTTGGTAACATTTCTTCCAGTGACAACAGGTTATCAGAGACAGCTTTAACTCTTCCATACATTAAGTTATAGTAAACACTGTCCTCTAGCTCTATGTCGCCATGGAAACCATGGAGCCACAACCCATGCCTAGATTTATAACTCCTTAAGCTGTAAAGACAATGTCTGAGTCTTTTATTTTTAAAATTTAAAAAGTTTTGTCGTCCTTGGTTCCTGTAGGTTTTCATTTGGATTCCCTCCGCTGTGGGGCAACAGAAGGTGTTTCTGTTTAAATGCGACCATCCTGATGGAAAGGAGATAAAAGGAGATAAAAACAGGCCTCTGCTGGGCCGAATAATCTGAGTCCACCTTACAAGAGATAAACTCAATCTAAAGGAAGGAGATGGAGATAAACGGTAACGGTTAAAGACCTAAAGTGGTGTAGATGAAACATTTGTTTGGGATTTTTAACATAGCACCTGGACCTTTCCTTTCCATACATACAGACCCCATCGTATATATGCAGCAGTACAGATTTTTTGCAGTACAAATGAAGTCAGTGCACAGCTGTGCGCACATTTTATTTGGTTGTTTATAATTCAGAATTAACTTTAATCTAAGCAAATCATTAACATAAAAATTTAATTAAAAAAAATATCTAGCTTCAACTAGTGTGCTGATTTAAAGTGCTGGACCCCTCTTCTTTTAATTAGAAGACTGATGGAGACGCTACACGGTTGATCATCATCATCATCATCCTCCTCTCAGGATCAAATGATTTTTAGTTATAGAGCAGCGGTTAAGAGGACAACAGTTCCTGTTCTCACCCTGGAACTGAGGCTTCATCTCCCAGGCTTGCGATGCAAAGCCCCCAAAAACATGGCCCTTGGTGTCTTTGATGAGCAGCACGGTGGGGCCGTGGTGCGTCAGACCCGACACCATCTTGGTGAAGCTCTCCCCATGCAGGTGTGTGGAAAACACCAGCCTCCAGGGGGTGCTGTAGCTGTCCGGTAACTAAGGGAAAATAAGAGGAGAGAGAAAGTGGTTGTTGGTGAGGAACAGTTTGCAAGGATGCTGCTGATCCTCCACAGGAAATAAAAGCGAGGATAGAGGCTGAACATCAGTGGTCCCCCACAGAAGAGAGTGGTTATCATCAGAAGGGGATTATCTGCCGAGAAGGAGGCCTGTTTGTAAATGAACCAACTGCAGCCGTTCTGGTTCTGGTCTCAGAGGTTCTCCAGAGAATAACCAGTATCATGGAGAAAGTTTTGGTGGTGTTTAAATCAGGGTTTCAACAGCTTTCAACATCTCCCAGATCAACCCATCATCTGAAGATGAACCACCTGCTGATCTACATCAATGCCAGGAGGACACGGGGATTCTGGAGGAGCTGCAGACATTCATAGCTCAGGTGGAACAAGGCATATTCTTCTGCTAAAATGGCCTAGTCAAAGTAAAGACCTAAATCCAACAATGATCTATGATTAGACTTTAAAAAAGAACATCTCAGATGTTCTGAAATGGGCAAATGTTCAGTCAGTAGAGTTGAAGCTGAAGGACACGGACCTCATTAGACCAGTAGCCAGAAGAGGTTTTACAGAGATCTGCATCAGATACAAAAAAGAGTAAAACCCATATATTTCCTCATCGTAGCCATGTTCTACTCCTTGTTATCGGTCAGCTGATTAAGGCCACAGCAGATTCATATTAAAATGCTAAAAACTATAGCTCTAAAAGTGATTTATTTTGTTCTCATTTAAGACCTTCTACTCATTAAATTAAAGGTATAGTGGAGGATACTCTTTTTCCGGTTGGATCACCAAAATAAGTGGTCCTCCTAATTTTCAATCATTCTGTTTACGTAAGGCCGTCCTACATGCTCGTTCCCATTTTCACTTACCGGTGGTGAGTCTGACATGGTGGAAAAATTGCAAATCTTTTGTAAAGTAAGCTTGTATGAGCGATGCAAACAGCAACTTTGAAACAGAGCGTGCATGAGGAGAAATTGGCTCGTGCATGCTCTTGTGCGTGTTTAATAGATTTTCCCTCTTGGGAGCGTGTACAGGGTTGTGCATGTGCATTTCTGGAGAATGGAGAGGGTTTTCTTTTCAAAAATTCACGAAAATCTCCACTAAACCTTTAAAATATCTTAAAAATGTAATCTGCAGAATTTTAAGGTGAGCCACAACTAAACTGGGAATAACTAAATCAAACAGATACAGTCTTGGCTTCTGATGAACCCAAAGTGAATACTTTGAACCCCAGACCTGTGGAGCAAGAAACATGAGGGTGGGGATGTCCAGCAGGCACTTCAGGTCCTTCCAGTGTGTCTCCTTGCATAGAGGCAGTAAAGTTGGGGCCGTCCAAGAACCCAGAGACACATTCAGGCCCTCTGCAACCAGGATCTCCAAGTATAGGGAAACCTGGGAGACCCTGAAGATCCAGTCCTCCAGACAGGAAACATCACAAGTTCCCTGATCTGAGGGGAGAAGACAGACGCAGTAAGTGGAGAGCATCCCTGGAGATGTCCACAAACTTGATAGTCACTGGTTTACCTGAAGCTTTGAGCTCAGAGCACATCTGCTCTGCCAGCAGTTTGATCCCCAGCTGGGTGTCACCCATCTGCTCTGGCTTCCAGCCCTGCAGGCGCCCCCTTTTGGTCAGAATCTGAACTATAGCAGAAATCAGGTCCTCCAAGAACTGAAGAAAAGCAAAAACCATGAAGCTGAGAACCGACCAGCAAATCAACACTGTAAAATTTCCTGTTAACTCCCCCGCCTCACTTACCGCTGCCACCTGTTCACAGGTGACAACATCTGGAACCCCCTCTGCATTGTGGGACATGACCAAGACGAGTGGGGCCCGTTCCTCTGCAGTCCCTCGGAGGGTGTCCGCCAGGAAGACGATCAGCTGCTCCCGGTCAACCCCTGCGGTGCCTTCCTTTGCTGAAGCCGACGGTGCCGCCTGTCCTGGGTCGATGCTGCACATGCATCGGTAGATCCTCTTCACCATGGTGTCTGAAGCCAGGTCACCCATGGAGGTCTGCCAGAGACATTGGCAGGAATTAGAGAAAGGAAAGGCAGAAAACACAAAGAAACTGACCTTTTAGAGTAACTTCTAAAATCATTTAGATAACTGAGTAGAAGAAGTGATCGGATGACACATGGTGTATTGTTTATTACCCAGGACTTGGGGTCAAAAGTAACCATGAACATTTATGAGCAAAAAAATATTATTCTAACTCTGCCTGACATTTTCACAACATCCAAGACTTCATACTAGGGATGCACTATATAATCGGCCCCCTATCGG